CTTTCTAGTCGTGTGCAGACTACTTGTAGACTATAGACTATTGCGTAGGGAGAGCAACAACGGAAGAAAAGGATTCCGCAAAGTCTAGTACCGGTACTCGTAGTCCACAAAGAAAGCAAGGGGAGGATAAGGAGGTTGTGGAACGGAGAGCAGGCCGCGGGATACGCATAAATCTCAAGCCCAGCGAGAAATTTTGATACCTGGTTAGGAGGGTCTGGACTGCAACGGAACCTGGATCAGAATCCCAATGAGGGAGGGAAAAGAAATACTGCAGAGCGAGAAACAGCGCCGATAAAAATGGTGAAAAAGAAATAATATTCTTATACGGTACGGTAGTCCACGAGTGCACAAGAATTGGGGGGGGGGGGTAAACCAAGTGAGGCGGGGGCGAGAAAGGTGTAAAACGTGGGAAAGTGCAACTTAATCATGATACTGTACAGTAACAGATGTGGTCTGGTATTAGAGTCACAACAAAATGGGTACCGGTATTAAATCACTCTGCTAGCAGACGGAAAGTATGCACACAAGATGGACGAGAGGTGGGAGAAAACAAAGATGGAGATAGGGCCCGGGGAAATAGGTGGCAAGGGGAGATGAAGCAATCTATGGTGAGTACCTCCGCTGCGCTCAAGATAAATTCACTTGTATGATACTGTACCGGTACGATATCTTATCAATAATGTGCCCGAACCAACCGGAATGCATAACCACCACCGAACGGCATAAGTGAAGGCACTATGAATGGAAGTGCAGCACCCTCTTGGACCATAATAACTGATACCGATACACTGTAAGTTATTGGCTAGGATGTCTCCCGGAAAAAAAAATGCATTACCGGCTACTGCTCGGGGATAACTACCGGTACTCGAGAAGAGTGCATGCAGTGGTAAGGCCGAGTCTGAGTTGATCGCGGCCTCGGAGAAATACCGGAACAAAGACATCGTTTGAGCCGTATACCGGTGAACTATGGACAAGTACTTGGACCAGTGGTTACAGGATAGAGGGTCATATCTCCCCACCTCCGAGCGCAAGTACGCACAGCAAGCAGGCCGGGGAAGCGAGTGGGAGGGGAAACACACCTGAGGTCGGGGGGAGGGGCGAAGGCAATGCGGTTTTTTTCCTCTTTGGACCATCGCCCAACGTCCCTTCCTGGATGATAGATGGGGGTCTCCCTCGGTCCAGGTGAGTACCGGTACGGCACGGCACTTTTCTCTTCACTTGGTATCAAAACTGGTATGATACGAGTACCGTACATACCTTCCTCATCATGGATCAAAACCCCACTACCGTAGGCTCAGCGGTCAGTCAGGAAGGTGTGTTGCTTTTTCCATCATTCCAACAGAACAGAAGCCTAGCAACTTTTCTCTTTTTTTGAGCCGTCCCGCATCTCGGGAGATCCTTGTCTGTGCGAGAATTTTAGGAGGAAAAAAAAGGAAAAAAGGGTTCCTAATATATTATCCGCCTCTTCAGCTGGATCTGTGAGGCGTCGGGCGCCGGCGGACTTGTGTCGATGAAAATTGGCACAGATGCGCAGTAGTAACCTATCTATTACCTAAGCAGAGCACATGGCATGATAACCCAGCCAGCCTACGGTAAGTACCAGATGGCTCCGATGAACCAGAAAGCTTGTGCGAGATACGGTACCGCATAGGACCAGCATACAGTACAGTACCGTAGTGTCTGGGTCACTGTAGGCGCTGCTGTTGCGCTGGATCATAGTTGGTGCTTGCGGTAAGCTCCGATGGGAACGTGCTACCGTATCTTGGGTACATTTACTGACTATTCAGAGGTATCCAGTCAGAGCCTGGATCGTATCGGGTTGTAGTACGAAGCTTCAGTTAACTGGGAGCACGGTACGACAGTTGGGTCCGAGAACAGGTGCCGGCATGCCAATAGCTTCTCAGCTCTGCATCTTGTGGCTGCGAGAAGCGTGTCATATGATATCTAGCTGTAGGAGGCAGTACCATACGGCAGTGGATGGAGATGTCTTTGAAATATGCAGCATTCCCGGTGGTTCTAATTTCGAATGCCAACGACATGCTATTGTGCCGATACTGCTCCCGGGTCTACGATAGGCACAGGCATAAAACTAGCGTCAGGAGGCATAGAACGACCCAATTTAGGTATCCTCTGGGTTGCCGCTCCATTGGCAATATTGAATTAGTGATCAATGGCCCATATGTGTGTGTACGACCTACTCCCCACAACCCAACCATGAGCCACTCGTATGGAGCATTTCAAAAGCAACTTTTGCCTACAATCCCCAATAGAAAAGCTAAAAAAAAAACTAGGAAAAACTAAACTTAATGCCTTGATCGCCCGGCAAGTCCCTCAAAACTCGAGCTTGCGATGACTATTTTAAAACCACTCTATCCGTCAATTTTGCCACGGAGCCACAGAGTAGGAGTGCCGGTAAATGTGATCTCGAAAAATAGAACAGACGAACTATAGCAGTCACTCGAGTATCCCACAGAAAGTGGGGCATTGACAATATTAAGTCTACTGGGGATGACACCACGTGAACACTTGTACTTGTAGAGGCATCTCAATGGAACCGTCGAATACCGTACAGCGTACTCGAGTACTGCGCGAGCACCCATGCCTAGATAATATGGCTAGTGTAACGTTGCAGGGCGCAAATATATATGAGTTACCCCCGGGTTTCTCAGGGTAGCAGAAGCCGATTACTATCGGACTGAGCTAATAGATCAACAAGGGTAGAGTGGTACCAATTGCTAAACATAGGAATTCTTGCAGACAAGGAGCCAAGGAGGGAACTTTTGGGCAGCGTGCAATACTGTAGAGTAAGTTACCGGTACTTTTCGAGTGCTCAGAATTTCTCCGCATCGCATCCCTGGGCCCCATTGGTCTGTCATCAGTCAGAAGTCCTAACCCTTGGTTGCTTTTAAGTTGTGAAGATTAGCCGGTGCCGTGTCGTACAGCCCCGCGCGAGACGCGGTTCGTGCCACGGGCTGAGAAGAGGCTCTGGTTCTGGACAGGAAAGGTCTAGCCCGAGCCTACGCCCAGAAAATTTTCCTTCGCCAACAGCCTGCAAAGGCCTTGTGCAGATTTTGTATCCACCACGGCGGCTAGTCAACAACCCTCATCGTCACCAGTCAATCCAAATTACTACTCCTATTTTAATTCGCCCTCACCATCCCCGTACCCATGTTTGCGGTCAGCGGATGGAATCTCGAGGCTGGACCAAAGACTCAAGTCGACGAGTCGGTCAAAAAGAAGAAGCACAAATCAAAGTCCTCCAGGTCCGCATCGAGCAGCAATGCTACTCCGATTACGAACAAGAGATCCCCGGCAAAGGAACCCGAACCGGGAAAGAGGATACCCAAGCCTAAAGGGGAAAAGCAGACTGTGGTGACTTCTGAGAATGTTCTCGCGTTATACGAGAAGATGATAGAGGGAAAGAAGCCAGCTAGGAAGCCGAGGGATCGGAAGAGGAGAAGAAAATCAGCAAAGACAGATCCTCTGGAGGCAGCATCGTTGGCCGTGGCGAAGAAACGGAGCAGAGCCTGCGACGAGGAAGACGGTGAAGCGCCGACCCCCAGCACCATCGGAGATGTAGAGGGGGGGATCTCAGCACAGAATGGTAGCCAGACTGTTTCCCCCAAAAAGAAGAAAGAGGTTCCGGGGGTGATAAAGAACGCATATACGGCATCTTCCGCAGCTAATACCGAAGCCCAGTCTGACTTGACCGAAAAGACTCCGGGATCGGCCCCCATCTCTACCCTGACCCCTCTCCAGCTGAGGATGCGTCAGAAACTCTCTTCAGCCCGGTTCCGGCATATCAATGAAATTCTCTATACTACACCGTCCTGCTCCTCCCTTAGCCTATTCAGTGAACAACCCGAAATGTACCAAGAATACCACAGGGGCTTCAGGCAGCAAGTTGAGGTCTGGCCTGAGAATCCCGTCGATATCTTCATCCAGAAGCTGCAGGAGCGAGGGAAAGTCAAGTTTGAGCGGGGTCATAATAAAAGGTGGAACTCTAGCGCTGGAGGGAACCTATTCCCTCTCCCAAGAGACAAAGAGGAGGGATGGTGTACAGTAGCTGATCTTGGATGTGGGGACGCCAAAATAGCAGCTACCATCAACCACCAGAAGCCTCGGGGTAAAGCTAAAGTCAAAATCCTTTCTTACGACCTCCAAGCTAGTACCCCTGACGTAACTGTCGCCGATATCGCACATCTACCCTTGGAGCCAGATTCGGTAGACGTGGCCATCTTCTGCTTGGCACTCATGGGCACAAATTTCTTGGACTTTGTCGAGGAGGCGCATCGGATCTTGAGATGGAAAGGTGAACTTTGGGTTGCCGAAATCAAGTCCAGGTTTAGCCGCCCTAGTGCAAATGAGGTAGAGGATGATATAGAGATGGAGGAGAAGCAGAAAAAGGGGGATGGGCCTTACAAACCATTTGTGGATGCGCTTTCCAAGCGTGGTTTTGCCCTTAGGGGGGGGGTGGATGCGGGGAATAAGATGTTTGTGAGGATGGAATTTGTGAAAATGCAGGAAAAGTCACAGAGGGATGATAGAGATGGCGGGAGCTGGGAGCCCAGAGCGAAGAAGAGGTTGAAGTTTGTTGAGAATGATGAGGTCCGAGAAGACCAGATATTGAAGCCTTGTGTATATAAATCGAGGTAGGATGGTGACCACGAGAATCTGACTTTGATGATGGCATTGGGTATGATCCCGGTTGTCAGAAAACAGACATGTGTATTTAGAGATAGTGAAAGCTGATAACCTAACCCCAGTGGCTGGGAAATACATTACCTGGCTGTTAAACGAGTAGACAAACAGAACTTGGATTGAATTATTAGTATAAGAGATAGTAACTTCTACTAGCTTTCCATATGGTGTTCGCGGTTACATCATAACGCCATGGAGCGTAACTAATTCCCCCACCCACATGAATTACTTAGAAAAATAGATATTTCCTTCATCACAAAGAATCACTCGGAAACCCAAACCCACCTGGACAAGGGATGGGAACCCAATACGACCAACGGGATCACCGTAAAATTCTGACAAGGCGTCCTCCTCCTCCTCCCCAACGTTCCTATGATATTTCGCAGAGAAAAAAAGCAAAAGCAAAGCAAAGGAAAGGGAAAGGAAAAAAAAGAAAAAAGAGGCACCTTACTTATAGGGACTATCAGATTCAACCAGCCAATTCCGAAACGGCATGATATTTGAAATACCAATGATGTAACATGTAAGGAAATGTGGGCGACTCGTTGAGTCACTCGCGTCATGATACACCGATATCAAACGCCCTAGATTACCGGGTGGGGTGGCTTGTGATGCGAAGAGCCGTGTAACGTTTTTTCTTCTTCATTTTTTTTCTTTTCTTCGGAGGGGGGGCTAAGCCTTTGTTAATGTGCGAGTACGAGTACAGTATGAGGGAGATTCGATGGGTTGAGCGGATTTGTGAGATTAGGGGGTAGGATGGTGTAAGACGGGTACGGTACAGTACTCGAGTACGAGTAGTAGTACGGTGGTGGGTTGGGTATGATATGATGCCCGGTATTCACGTGTGTGTGGGGGGCGGGGGGGGGGACTGGTGGCGGAGGCTTGGTGAGTTGTACTACGGTACGGTATGTCTGTCGGATTGCCTCTGGTTTGGCTCGGTGGACCTGCCGTAATCCGACGGGGTAGAGCCGGGATTGACGGGCTCTTGCGCACACCCCAAGTGCTCGAGTGAGCATCCATAGGTGGATGGGCGAGAATGAGCGTGGAATTGGGAGTACTTGTACTGTACGAGTGATACGAACTTTGAGCAACATAAGCGTGCGACGTATCATGCCCGGGACGCCCTTAGTGATAAGATATCCTACTTCTTTTTATAATCTAGAAAAAACGTCTGCTAGCTGCCTAGAGGGCCGATTGGTTCGCGGGCCATCGCACTTACCTGAGCATATTGTGCCCTCCGGATAACCAGAGATCCAGTGGAGGGATTTGATAATGCAGAGTTAAGGATTGCTATCTCTGAGATAGCTGTGTTACCGCGGCGACGAGTGAACCTGAGGAATAGGGATTTCGCAGATGTGTGAAGGGACTCTCATGATTTTTTTTACTTATTGCAGCGTGGGTCAAGGTGAGGTATTACCGTATTTCAAGGAGGGGTCTCAGGATCTCCCGTCTTAACTGACAGAATTTTAAGCTGGGGTTATCTTTTGGGTGAGATGTGAACTTTAACCTGTGACACGTTGCCGTTGTAGCAAGCTTTAATGGGGTCAAGCAAATTACTTACTCCGAAGTCCCTCCAAGTAGGAAGGCAGCTTATAGGGCTGGTAAATCTGTGCTCCCACGAACGATGAAAATTGTCAATTGAGTTAGCTGCCGAAGCCCCAGGTGGGAGTGAGAAGTGTGAGTGCGGGGAGGGAAGATGGTTGCCTTGTGTTACATGTCTTCTGACTTCGACTTCACCATGACTAAAAAAGGGGGTTGGAGTTACATCTCTCTTGACAGATCCATGACAGATACATCCCCACTGCAGAATCGGTGGGGGTGAAGCCAAAATGCGCTCACAGCGCGATGAGATCTGTGCTGGATGGGGAGGAGAGAGGCGTATTGTCTTGAACTCCATTTTCCCCAGGGTGTCCATGGCATTATGCCCAACCTTCTTTCGTATCAGGTGCCACACGTTGTAGGAATAGTTATTGAGTTTTTATATCGTTCCGCCACTGCATGTGGTCAAATAGGAGCTTAGTTTCCATATGAGGTGGAAACATGACTAATTGAAAGATTTGCAGTAATCGAACGGATCGGCCGGACAAAGAATGATGAAGGTGAAGATTCAGAGCGATGGCAGAAAGGGAGAAAGGGAGTGGGGGTCTTGAAACGCGTGAACAATCACTCGAACGTGAATGGATGGGAGGATATGGTTGGGCTGAAATGACGTGACAAAAAGCACTTTTTCGATAGGTTGTGGTGTGTTGCAGGTTGCAACCGCAGCGTAATGTCGGGGGGAAACAGACTACAGCTAAGGTCTCCGAACCAATCTCAGCAGATCACCATAACGTTAACTACAAGCTAGGTTTATCAGGTGCTGGAGTTTCTAAAATACTTTGTGTTGTTCGCGGACACGGCTCATGGTTCCTCGTTAATTGAACCTAGTCACTACACATCAAACCCTCCCTAGATGGAAGACCGGACGCAAGCGATTCGAGCTCACTGTGTCAACCCCCTCATGGATTCTCACCAAATTAAACGTTCAAGTGGCCGGGAATCTATGGATCGATATTCTGCTGCCCACACAGTTGGTAGGCTAGGGAATCTCTTGCTATGAAATCACTTGTGTAGGAGAGCTCGGACATATGATTTAAGAGCCGGGAATTTCTATGGAAGCTCAAATGAAAAGGTACTCCCTTCGAGATATTTCAAATTTTAGAGGTTTACACGGGCTTCAAGACTTCAACTATTTCCCCGAACCTTGGTATGCCCAGTAAAAATGGCTAAATGTTTTGCCGAGCGAAATATAGCTGCAATTAAATAACTTCCGGTTGTACGATCGTATTTCGAGCCTGCGAAAGTCAGCATTTTTGGTGAAAAATGCAGGGCAAGCGGTGGCGTACCGTATATGGCGGAAAAATATATATATAGGTTTTTTTTCTCTCTCCCGGTTTTTACCTGCTGTGTATACAGAGTCAGGCATGGAGGCCTCTCTTGCAACGTGACTCCCCTGCGCGAGAAAGGCTGGGTCTGCAGATCATTCCGTCCTTTGGTGCACCTCTGGTCACTACTTTGCAAGAATGTGAGCAAATATTTCCCTACCTTCGTGCAGAGTGACTAGGCCGCTATGCTTTGGGCCTAGTTCTAGCGTCCTTCCCGCCTCGTGGTGGGTGAATTTTTCCATATAAATTAAGCTCACCGACTCGAGTGATATTAGATGATTAAATGGTTAGAGGAGTTTCAAGTTTTCGAACAATTGGGGTGGGTGTAGACAGTGATACCTTTTGTCAGGGCCGAGTCGCTACATGACCTATAGGTGTGCTGATAACACATTAGTCAAAATGTCATTTTTCTGCTCGATCATCTCTTGCAGGTATTGATACTAGAAGTGTTACTGGGGGGAATAATAGGTAGGTATTGAGAAGGCTTCATGTCTTGCTTGGGTGGGGCGGGTATCCTGGGAAGAGTTTTATTTAGCCTCGCCAGAAGCTTTGACTATACATTGCAAGCAGGCAGCATGCTCCACCCTTGTATCGGGAGAGGAGGGGGAAAAAAGCGGCGGAGCGATCTGATAGCCACGCCCAACTCCAACATGAGCAGCATCCTAGGGACACTACGGGACCTGATTCTTCACAACTCTATCGAGCATAGCGAAGCTCTAATATTAATATTGGCACTCACCCTAATCTTCTTTCACCTCAGAGCCGAGTTGGGCATAGTGAGACACATTTTGGAAGAATGGATGTGGCTAAAGACCTACCGGCACTTAGGTAAGCTTGGGATAAGCGCCTTGGCGGGTGTCGCATTTCAAAATTTTGATTTACCACTCTGCTCGAGCAAGTCTCTCTTCTCAGACACTCCACTCAGCTATTCTTCCGCCTTCAATCAACATTGTTAAAACATTGGTTTTGAGCGTTGATCCTCGCGTCAATCCAACAACCGCCTGATGTCACAAGTGAATTTCGCCAGTTCTGAAGCCGCTCCGTTTGTGTTTGGAGAAAGGGTGTGAAAGTTCACAGTCTGATTGGTGTACAGGTGCAGTACTTGCGGAATCACATCCTGGTACGGTATCCTGGATCTCGATAGTGATACCTCACTCTCCCGTATGAACCTCTTTCAGCGGTTCTCCCTGGGTTAGCGATGGATGGGACCGATTGAATGCAAGTTCCGGATTTCTTTCCACCAAAACCCAACTTATTGTCCCGGAATTCCCCTTGCGCCAGTCAGATTCTTTAGATTCCGGAAGTTTGGGGTGGCGGGGTGCAAGGCCAATTATCCTGGTTTCTAGTGCCATACGAGGTGTTTTCGGGCAAGACAGGTTAATCCCGTATATTCGTGGCTAACGACAGGAAGCATGACAGGGATTATTTTTCAGGCTAACCTAAATTAACTGTTCACTTCTTCTATGGGTACGGTACTTGAGCCGGTACTGGAGTACTCGAGTACAAGCACATGTGCAAGTTTTCGTGATGCTGTACGCCTGAATTCTTGGCATTTACCCAGCTACCACAAAACGTCCGATTCAAAGCTTGCTGGCGCTGGTTTACTCAGACGGGGGATCGTGTGAGTCGGTTAGCATGTACGGATGCGAGGTAAGAATATCTCTCAGAGAGGGGTTCTTTCAAAGCAACTTCCCGTTTGATACTGTGCCGGTATGTGGAATTTAATCATTCCTGAGCTCTCGTTGAGCTATCAATATTTTACTTGCCGATGGACATTAAAACTCTCACCAATAATAGCATCTGTCCTGGATTAGCAAACAATATCTTAAACATCTTAATGCCAATTCGAGCTATACATCATTGGAAACCCAGTTGAGCCTAGCAGAGTTAGGAGGTACCGGTATTTTGGCAGTTTGGATAGTAAATTTCCAAACACAGCAGTATTTGGCATATTGACAGAATTTAGGCCTACAGTTCAAGCGGTGGCCTGAAACTAGGCTGCTCTGCACTGCGCATTTCCACGTCCATATTCGTTGGGAGATATCAACTGAGCATGTCCAGGGGTGCGGCAATATGTTAGACACACCTACTCTTTCCCACTATCATTGCACCAATAGTATTACTCTATGGGACAGGTAGACACCTCAGAGGCAGGCTTCGGGAGTGATCTGCAAGCAAGGGGTGACAGTTGTACGGTACACTAATCTCTTCTTATGGGTTCTTTTAGGAGGTGCACATTGGCTGTCTGCTGTAGGCAACTGATCGCTGCTGGTTTATCAGCGGGGTCTTCTATCGCCCGGGGAGTTTGTGTATATGCTACCACCGCCTTCTCAGACCTCGTTCTCTCCCCTTCAGTTGGAGATTCTGCAGATAGTGCTGTTCTTCAAACCGGCTTGTCCTACGAACACAAATTATCATTTCTCTTCCTTTTTGCGACGACCAATTTATCCCGTTCGGGTTTTTTCACTACGAGGAGCCTTGTTTCTGACCTTCGGGTGCATTCCGGGTCTACCACTCCCACAAGGTAATTCTCTGACCTTTCCTTCTAATATAGAGTCCTCAGAGTCTAGGGTGTGATTAACAGGTGGATATTATAGCTATCCTTACAGACAGCTGCTGAGGGAAGGGAGCCTTGATCTCATAAGCACTCAACAAACCGGCTGTAGAGATGGGTTCCACAAACAAAATGTTTGCCCCAATTGCCTCCTGAGTAGTTTCCTGGGTTTTACTGACAATCGAGCTGTAGCGGTGTTTGCCGGTTCTTTGCGAGCAATGGGGAATGCCGCTTTGGAAGTGGTTGCAAGTTCTCCCACAATACCGATTCCTCTTCCACCCCGGCCAAAGCAAAGCTCCCTTGCCATTTCTTCCAAACGCATGGCCGATGTAGGTTCGGCGATGAATGCAGATATTCTCATGACCCCAATCTCCCGAAAACCCTCGAAGATCCATCCAGTGCGGAGTCTCTTTATCGTGGATGGAGCCAATTGTTAGGGAGAAGAAACAACTATGGGCCCGTGCAGGGACCGCCTCCTGATCTGATGAGCGATCAAATGGAGAAGTTTCTTTTGGATGCGCTACAAATTCTCGAAATTGGGACTACTGGAACCATCCAGCAATTGATTAGAGACCTCGGCTCTGAGCGCGGGCTTCGCCGAATAGCTCAAATCGTTGAGACCACTTTCGCACCCGGCTATTCGATCCAAAGGCTCTCCTTTAAGAAACATGCCATACCATTCTTGAAGGTTATGGCCCATGAATCAATGAGGAATTCGTTAACCCTTGAGAGAGAAGTGGGGACTATTTTTAACTTCTTGTATGGCTACAATGGGCAGAGGGGCACCGGGTTTTTTCGACAGGTTGCAGATAATCTGCTAGGGTTATCGGGAACTGAGGACAAAGAGGGCTTCGAACGAGCTTTTTCTGCCGCAACCTCGACGCTGTTTAGTACTCTGAATACGAATCATGGTGCATCAGTTCAGGAAGCGTTCAAACCGATCGTTGACACCCTGAGTGCATGTGCCACGGAGGACGGTTCTGACGGTGTGTTTAATTATGCATTTCGTGTTTCTCAAGGCGAGCTTGGTCGGATCAAGGCTCTTCTCAATATGGGCGATGCAATCCCGCGAGCGAGGGGCATAGTGCCATTGCGATTCGCAAAGGACCCTAAGTTGCAGTATCAGATGCAGGTAGACTTTCCAGGTGAATTCTCACGCGAGGGCCCAAGGCACGATAACGACCACTCAGATATCTCCAAAATTCGGATTCTACCATCAACGGAAGAGATACTATCTCACCGGAACGAATTTCTTCCCCAAAGGTCACTGGATAGTCCTCATCACCTGGAAGGTATTTCACGGGTGTTAGATTTTCAATTCCGATTGCTCAGGGAAGATACCTGCGGCCAACTCCGGGAAGCTGCGCGAGTGGTCCACGATGATTGGCAAGAGCTTATGGAGACGGGGGGGGGAAAGGGAAAGAAGGATAAGGGGCGTAAATCCGGAATTCAGACATTAATTTACAAGAATGCACGAATTGAAGAAGTAGAATTCAGCACAAAGGAAGGACTCGTTCTCACAATGACTTTCGACCAACCAAGCCGAGTGAAAAAACTCTCGGACGCAGCTCGCCTTGAATGGTGGAGAAGGGCAAAATACGTAGCTATTGGCTCCCTCCTTTGTCTAATGGATAGTTCGAAGAGGAGCACCTTCTTGTTAGTTTGTCAGAGAGAAGTAAAGAAAGCAAAGCCGGAGCAAGTTCTCAGCACGGGACGCGACGAGACTGTTTGGGATCTCGCTTCCAATCCCGAAAGGTGTATGGTTAAGTTTCGTTTTGCCGAGTCGATCTCACAAGACGATATCGCCAATATACTCAATTCAGTCACAGGATTCGGGAATACTGATACCACCAGGGCCCTGGTTGAGTTTCCGGGATTACTTTTCGCTTCCTTTGATCCGGTTCTAAAAACCTTGCAGCAGCTATCGAAGAGCTCAAACCTCCCACTCCAAAAATGGCTCGCCCCGTCACCCAATTATTATTACCCTCCCGACACCAAGTCTGAGCACACACTTGTGCCGCCTCCTCTATATATGACGAAGCCTGGAACGGAATTAGATTTGAGTTGCATTGCCGGAGGATATCCGTTGAAGTACTCGATAAATCGCCCATTCAAAGTGGAAGAATTAAAAGCCCGTACAACCCTCGACAAGGGCCAATGTCAGGCAATGATTGCCAGTTTGAGCCAAGAGCTGTCGCTGATCCAAGGGCCGCCGGGGACTGGGAAGTCACATCTTGGGGTGCAGATTGTTAAGGTTTTGTTAGCCAACCGATCAAGGACTGGGATTGGTCCCATCATATGTGTGTATGTTCGCCTTTTCCGTCTACACCCTCGGCGATCATTGGTAGAACTGAAATCTGACTCTGGCAACCATTAGTTGCTATACGAACCATGCTCTTGATCAGTTTTTGAAGCATCTTCTTGACGAAGGGGTAACGAATATTGTTCGCATCGGATCCCGCACCAAGCTCGAGGAAATAGAATCTCTTTCATTACAAACTGTCTGTCAGAGATCTCAAGAACCTACGGTAATCGAAAGACGTGAGATTGGGAAAACCTTCAATCACTTGCAAGTCATTGGCGCGGAGATGGGCGATGTTTGCGTTCAGTTGCTTAGCCCAAATCATCCGGGCTCTTTGAAAAGGTATCTTGAGGATCATCAGCCCACTACCTACGAAATATTGTTCGGCGATGAGCAGGAAGATGAGGATGGATTCACAACCGTCAGAAGAGACATCCGAGGTGGGGATCGTGCGGTCATTGAAAATTGGATTCGTCACAGAGACCCGGTTTACCCTTATTATGCAAACACCAATAGGCCAATCAATGAGCTTTTGGGAATAGATATTCGAAAGATGTCTTACGAGGAGAAGTTGAAGCTTAAGCAATACTGGCTTGATGACATGAGAACTGTTGTGAGCTCGGAACTTCTTCAAGGAGTTAGCGAACACGCGGAATGCCGTGCGCATCTCAGCAAGCAGTATCAAGAGAGGGAACGCCGATGTCTTTCGTCTAGCAATGTTATTGGGGTAACTACCACGGGGTTCGCATCAAGATCGGAACTTATCCGCTCTCTTACAGCGAAAGTCTTGATGTGTGAAGAAGCTGCGGAGGTTCTGGAAGCCCATATTCTAAGCGCATTACTGCCGACGTTAGAACATGCCATTCTCATCGGGGATCATCAACAGTTACGGCCCCAGATCATGAACCACGACCTCTCGGTTGAAAATCCTCGGGGAGGGACAAAATATGGGCTAAACACCTCGCTGTTTGAGCGTACAGCTGAACATGAAAGGTACGGAGGTAGGAAATTTCCTGTCTCAGGGTTGGAGATACAAAGACGGATGCATCCCTCCATTTCTGCCTTAATCAGGAACACACAATATCCCAAGTTGTCCGATCACCCTACCATGCTCAAAAACCCCCCCGTTCCAGGTTTGGCGAAGCGGCTATTCTGGATGGATCATAGACATCTCGAAGCGGGGGCAGACAAAACAGAATTGATACAGACCTCCCACGCGAACGATTTTGAGGTTGATATGGTCGTTGGGCTTGTGAGACATTTGTCTCGGCAGGGGGTGTATAAGAGCGGTGATATTGCAGTATTGACACCCTACTTGAGGCAGTTGTTCAATCTGAGAAAGAAATTGGGCTCTGTTTTTGATGTTGTAGTTGGGGATAGGGACCAGGAACAGCTCGATTTGGAGGAATCGAAGGATGGGGATTTAGAACTGGACCCACCAACCACGGGGCAAAAGGAAGTGAAGAAAGGAGATTTACTGAGCGAAGTAAGAGTTGCCACCGTGGATAATTTTCAAGTGAGTTTAAACCGCCGATCTGTTTGAGACTTTGCGACTAAATTTTGCGGGAATCCATCAGGGAGAAGAGGCCAAGGTTGTGGTAATATCATTGGTCAGAAGCAATGACGCCAACAAATGCGGGTTTTTGGGAACCTCGAATAGGATCAACGTGCTTCTAAGGTAAATTCCATGCTATTAGGCTTGCAACCTATTGCTAAACACATGGGTAGTCGTGCTCAACATGGGATGTACATTTTTGGCAATGCCGCTACTTGCAATCAGGTAAAAATGTGGTCGGATGTTATCGGTATCCTCGAACAAGGGGGCAACATCGACGACACACTTCCGCTCCGCTGTCCTCGGCACCCGGATACTCAGATAGATATCAAAACTCCCGAGGAATTCCATGTCTTCTCTCCCGAAGGCGGATGTATGCAGCGATGCGAATGGAGATTGGACTGCGGCCATCCATGCGTCAAAAAATGTCATTCAGACACACTTCATAGGAACACAGTATGTATGGATGAGTGCGAGCGGACCTTTAAGCACTGCGGTCATCCTTGCCCTAAATTATGCGGAGTTTCCTGCGGCAACTGTCTCGTATCGGTACCCGGAGTTGTGCTGCCGTGTAGGCACGAATCGCCAACCCTAATGTGTTTTCAACTCCAAAATCTCGCAGGTGTCAAATGCAAAAGGGAGGTCGAGCGAACGCTCCCCTTATGTGGGCATGTGGTATCTCTAAAATGTCATATCGACCCCGATGGACACAAATGCAACGAGCCATGTGGAGCGATCCTCCCTTGTGGCCACCAATGTACGATGAAGTGCAAACAATGCACTAGGCGGATTGATCTTGAAGACAGCTCATACACTATTACGAACCATGGTATGTGTAAGGTTCTCTGTGGAAGAAAATTCGCCAACTGCAAGCATAGTTGCGGTGTACCCTGTCACGGTGGTGACACCTGCAAACCGTGTAGTGAGCTCTGCGAAGTTAGATGCGCACATTCGCGTTGCGGGAAGAAATGCTCAGAGGCCTGCGCTCCGTGTGCTGAAGAATGTCGATGGTCGTGTGAGCACCGAGGAGTCCGTTGTGAGATGCCATGCGCCGCTCCCTGCGACATTAACCCATGTTTTAAACGCTGTGACCTACAGCTCGCGTGTTCCCACCAATGCCCCTCTGTTTGCGGAGAGGAATGCCCGTCAGAAGAATACTGCCAGGAATGCGGAAGCGACGAAATATTGGACAGACAAGCCGATCTGATCATGTTTGAGACCTACCGCAATATCAATTTGGACGAGGATCCGGTCATCGTTCCTAAATGCGGACACTTCTATACCTTAGATACATATGACAATCATATGGGCCTAAAAAGGGTGTATAGATTTGACATGTTTGGCAAAATTACTGGCCCAAGGCCGCTTGACGGCAGCGACGAACCTGCAGACGGTGATTCAGAGAAGGAAGAGTTGAAAATTAAAAATTGTCCGGATTGTAGAGCTCCTCTCAGGGACATCCATCGATATAACCGCATCATTAAATCAGCAAGTCTTGATGAAGCCACACGGCGCTTCTGTATCAGTAGCCACGCTGAGTCTACCGAATTTTTCAGGGAGGTTTCCGATGCTGAGGATCTGCTGGAGGCTAACCGGGGAGATTTTATACAAGGCCTGAAGAATAGACCTGCGAACAGCCCAAGCCCTTTGACGAAATTACTTGACCGCGCGAACCGCAGCACAGGCCTTGCCAAACGACTACAAACCTATGTTTCGAAGGTTAAGGTGGAGGAGCAACCTTATGGCAGAGTTCGCCAACTAGTGCTCAACGCAGAAAGGCGCAAGGGCACACGAGGTAACTTTGTCATCGACAGATCGATGGTCCAATTCGGATTCAGACTGAAAGGTCAACTGCTATTTTTCCAATTGCGTTGGGCGGCTTTATGGGACATGCACGAGGTTATCGCCGGCCTGGTAGTCCCCAAACACCTCCGCAAGACATATAAGGAGAACCTCCTCGCGCAACTTAAGAAAATGCGGATGGAATGTGGAACACTTGTCGCCGACTGCCAGAGTGCAAAGATGGAAAAACTGGAGTGCGAAGCACGAATTTACCAGGCGCAGTTCTTCGCTCTCTATCGGAGCACACTGATGAGTGAGAGGCAAGTTAGGCCACTAGAAGCAAGGATGGCCGGTCTTGGTCCCGACCATGCCGAACGGCCACCTCCTCAAGAACCGATTTATGAAGATCTTGGTCCTGAAATCCTTGGGGAAATACGCCAATCCCTCGATAACTGTGAATATCTCTGCAGGAAACTTCCAGGCACTGTTGGGCCCCTAAAGGATAGAGTCAACCAAGCCCGTCAGCTACTTAATGGACCCGTAGTATTCTATGCTCCTGTTAGTACTGAGGAGAAGAGACTCGTTCATCTGGCAATGAGCGCAGAATTTAGTAGCACGGGAAGGTGGTATACCTGTCCCAATGGTCATCCGGTAAGTAAGGGGCTGCAGTGCTCACGGATCTGGGTGCAAGCTAACCGGTCGCTAAACAGTTCACGATTGGAGACTGTGGAATGGCTCGTGAGGCGAGGCCTTGTCCGGATTGCGGGGCGACAATTGGAGGAAGAGGTTATCAACTTGCAGGCGGTGTTAGAATTGCGGAGGAGTATGCACAGTTCGATGGCCAACACGGGAGAGGCAGGATATAGGGTTATACATCCTGGTTTACAACGTTAGACCGTTAGGGCCTATAATTTGTCATTTTCCTTTAGTTATGATACTTCACGAGAGTTATTTATATCAATGAAATGTTATGATTCTGTTTCCCAATGAAAGATGGGAGGGATAACCTTTAGTAGCGCAGCAACTCGCTAGTTTGTACAGCGCTCACCTTACACTCAGGAACAGATCCAGCCTAAGCGGTTGGGAAATATTCCAGGCTATCAATATCACACGAATACATATAAATATCTCCGAGCCGGTACAGATAGGAAGTGGGCAGATGTCTTAGACTTAGGATAAAGGCGAGTTGTGTTACACTTTTTCCAAGCATAATAACGGCTATTTATTTTGCAAGCAGGTACCGTAGAAACTGGGATGGTTGAGCCATCTGGCATGATACGTAGTCTAAAAATTCCCTTCTCTGCGGAGTAGGGGGAAAATCTTGAGGGAGAACGACAAACAGCGCAGCGATATAAGGGGTGGAATAGAATGTAACTTGACCGGTGTGAAGGAGCTGTATGGGAGGTATGGCTAAACTTCGTTCTCTTGCCCAGCGTCCTATCTAACTATAAGGCAAAGACAGTAGTATATGTGAAGAATAATGAAATCATCCTGACCCCCCCATGCATGTCTCCGTTCCTCAACACACACCCGGGGTGACAAGTAAATACATGTCTGGAGAAACCTCTCCGTAATTCCTGAAAGCCCCACGATCAATCGCAACTCGCTACCCTCACCCATAAACTCCACCGGTAGCAAAAAAAAATCGCCAGACCCTGCACAGAGAGGAATTCCCACAGGCATAGTACACGATTCAGCTATCCAAGCCTCCGCTATATCGGTATGTGGAGCATCCATTGAAGATTTAGGGAACAGAAAGGGCTGAAGATATGCTGCTTCAACCAAGCATATACAACCCTACGACTACAGTGGAACAACCTCAGGAGTGGCTACAATATTTCGCTCCAGCGTTGGTAACCAGTCATCCACTCGCTTCTCCAGCTTTCTCAAAGCTCATGAATGGAAAACCATCAACAAATCATGGATGCTTTTGCTTGTTGGTTCTACATAGAATGCCTCAATGGTCTAGTGGTATGATTCCTGCTTTGGGTTATGGTTACAGAAACATTTATGCAGGAGGTCTCCGGTTCAATCCCGGATTGAGGCCTTTTTTTTGCCTCTCTCCCGATTTATTTGTGGGGCTCATGTTTCTACAATAGTAAAGCCCACAACGGGGTTTCCGGCCGTTAATGTGGCTGTGTGACCAGTAGTGCGGCTATGTTGAAGGAGTAAGTAGCAAACCGCTGAGCGTTATCGATGGTAAACTGCTGGGTTTTAGGGTGCCGGTACTAGAATACCAAGGACCCGGTATGTGTGATGGTAAGGATGGAATATTGGCTCATACCGATGCAGACGGATGTTGGGCCCTTCTAGTGGCTACGCCCTTTCTTGACCGTAGTGGGACAGCTGGCTCACATTTTTCATCTATAAGGGGGAGTCTCCAGTAATTGAATGATTTGGACCTCGAAAGCCCGACAAGGGGACACCCCCGTGCCCCCCAAAATCCACTTGTCCAGAGAACCTTAGCAGCGCTCCGATCAATGATCGAACTTCGAGTGACCAACCGTGAGTAATAAAGGGGAGAGAACCGTAGCACGGGGACCGGTCTGAGAAATTCAGGTCACCGGTCCGTATGCCAAGAGGGTCCCCCCCTGCACACACACCTCAGTGGCCAATAATAATCACAGGGCGTCCCAAGTCAAGTCTCGAGTCCACAGCAAGTACGTACCGTATCGTACCGGTATCGCAGCAGCCGTTTTTGGCCCCAGCAGCTAACCCAATCTCAGCCGAGTCCACCACCTGCAACTTTCCCCTCCCCCCCCCTTCATTCCGTCCTCAGTTCCTCTGGGTAACGAACCTCCTCCTGCGAAAAACGAACCAGACCTACTGGAATTTTAGTTTAACCCACATCGATCCTATCATCGTCCTCAATAAATATGGATTTCAGCAAGATTCAAGGCCTCGGCAAAAACATCTCCTCTAGCTTCACACCATTCGCTACTCGCACCCAGCAGTTTATGCGGGAGCAGCTTGGGCAAGCCGATGAAAAGGTATTTCCCGATGGTTTATTTTTCTCAGACTTCCTGAGTGGTTATGGAGGATGGATGGGCCGTTTCCCGTTTGTTTGTCTTCAAATCTGCCGGTCATTCTCCGCCTTTCGGTTCTCGTTCCGATGGTGGTATCGTGACTTGGGATGTTTTTCATTTGGTCTTCATCATTTGCGCTTGCCCTTTGATACCTAGATGCTTTTCTCGTTCGTTTCGTGTCGTGTACCCTCTGTATTTTTATCAACTAGTTTCTCTAGACGTATTTTTAGGACCTGCTTGATTCATGGGGAGCTAACATCGTTGAAGACCCAACTGCCTCCCGATTATCTCGAACTCGAGAAGCGTGTCGATGCATTGAAGAACGTTCATCAGAAGATGCTGGCAGTTACGTATGCTACTCCCCTCAGCTCTTCCCGATAGGCCGAGATTTCTTTTTACTGATGGTTCACTAGGACACAATATGGTAATGAGGTGAGATTACAGAGACCTTGTGGTTTATTGTACATGAACTACGCGTCCTAACTATACATGAACTTGAACTGATAGTCTTATGATTACCCACCGAATCTGGTAGGTCTTTCGGTCCCCCCGATACCGGGCCGGAGTTGGGTTGGCCGAATATATGTCAATGCTGACATGTAGTAGCGTGAGTCCATTGTCGACATGTCTCGTACTACCTTAGAGAAGGTTCAGCTTCTTGGGGGCGCCAGTACCGCCGCCGAAGCTCAGAATATCTTGACCAAGCCCGGTACCAAAGCTGCCCCGAAAACATTCCCGCATGCTATCGGCCGCGCTTCGCTTGCTGCTTCCCATTCTCTTGATCCCGCTGAACCCCTCGCTACTGCTCTTGAGAAGTACGCTCTTGCTAGCGAGCAAGTCGGCGAAGCTCGTCTACAACAGGATGCCCAGATTGTATCCAGGTTTAACTCTGCATTCACTACTACTCTCAACACCAACCTGATGTTCGCTACCAAGGCCCGCAAGAACGTTGAAAACGCGCGCCTTTCACTCGATGCCGCAAAGTCTAGAGCAAAGAGTGGTGGAGGTATCGGATTTCCTGGTCTCGCTAGCCCCGGGCGCAAGGATGGTGTTGCCGAGGATGAGGGCTTAACGGAAGAGCAGAGAGTGGAGGTTGAGACCGCTGAGGATGAGTTTGTAGGGTGCACAGAGGAGGCTGTCGGTGTCATGAAGAATGTTCTTGACACTCCCGAGCCTTTGAGAAATCTTGCGGACTTGGTCCAGGCCCAGTTGGAATTTCACAAGAAGGCTTACGAAATCTATACTGAGCTGGCACCTTTGATCGAAAGCTTGCAGGTTGAACAAGAGGTATGACAATTCGCTATCCTATTTTTGTTTTTTTACGAGTTTCTTGGGATTTTTGGTTCGTTGAGTGGCGACTGATCAGAGCTGCTGCTTGGGGTATAAAGTCCAAGAGAAGCGAGGAGTTTTGAGATCATGTCTCGAGGGTGGAGATCAAATCATTTTCGACAAAACTTGTAACAGACCTGAACTAACAACACCACAACTGTTTTAATAGGCTAGCTATAGAAAATCTAGGGAGGAGGGGGCATAAGTTGGATTGAAGCTGATCGGGAGTATTGGCTGAGGGTTTTTAAGACAAATATGGAGAGGAAAACCCCGGGGCTAATGACGCCGGTTTTTATTGACCTTTGGTTCTTGCTCTGTCAGCTCTGGTGTTTTCCGCGGGCTAAATTTCGGCGGTAGCTGTTTCATGAGGATGAAAGGGTTTATCCTATTTTTCTTTTTCTTTCGGGGCACTACTGGTTACCTTTGGCTCGTCTCTTCATATTTTTCTTGCGTCGTAATTCTTCAATTTTTACTCTCTCTAGCTTTAAAGGGTAGTACTTGTCACTTTTTTCTTGCGTAGCGCCCGACGGTATGATATTTCGTGAGATGATGAGATCCATTGATGAGGAATGATACGGTGTAGCATCCTGCCAGTAAATTTATTATCTCCTACCATACCGGTAGACAGTGCTATTGAAGTGTGGTCGAAGAAGGCGAGCATCTTGACCGGAATATTGAGCCACATGCAGGTGCGGCGAGATTGGATAAGATCTCTTTTTTTATTTAACCTTCGGAGTAAGGGGCCACAATACGGGTAGGATACCCACCCACCATCCTGCGGCCCTGTTCGGGTCTGCCCCTTGGAGCAGATTCTTTTTTTTCTTTCTTTTCTCTGCGGTAACGAAGCGCATTGCTTGGGTTCTCATCCGAGCTTCAGATGTATCGTGCTCGCAGGGCTTATGTACGAGTACAATACAGTACTGTACGAGTGCGAGTACTCGAGTACAGTGAATATTGTATGATACCATGACTTGAGCCCCTTGGACCCCATTTCCCTCCGGCTCGCAGGTGGGCCGCTTTGGTTCTGCAGGCGTGCCCCTCGCATATGATACAGTACTCGCACCCGATGCCGAAGCTGGCTCTGCCCTAGGTCGGCTTGGGCTTGAATTGCTCTAGACGTTTCCACTGGTATTACAAACCCGTTTGCCGGGGTTTGGCATTCTGGCAACAACAGGCAGGAAGGGTCTGCGGTACAGTGAGTTACCGTTCGAGTTCTCAGCTCCCTCCCGCGCGTCGTCTCCCCCTCCCCTCTCTCCTGTTTTCCACTCCCACACAACCCTAAGCAGACGCCCTCCACTCCCCCCCCCACACCGTATTATACACACGACCACAACACACATATCGCAGTGCAGCCCCTTCCATCATCCCTGCCTGTTTCCTCCCGACAGCGCCCCCCCCCCGGATTACACTCACACTCCGCTATCCCGGACGGCCAAAATCTAGAGAATCTGTCCGGTACAACGGATTGATCGGAACAGCGAGTCAAGCTTTGCTGTGGAAGGATTCTTGATCCACAGCATTTCATACGGGACAGCGAGGTATCCGTGCTATCGAGATCCGGGACAGCAGAGTTTAAGTGCATTGTCCTTGGGCCACCAATATCTCGACATCTGCCTGTCTCACACAAATACCCTCCCCACGTTTTCCCCACTTCCCTATCCCTCGAAAATCGACATTTGTATCAGTCCATTTGTCCCCGGATACTCTTCGAAAATTTCAAACCCTCGACAAAGGATCCCTACCCTGACCGGACTTCTATGAGGGCCGAAGAACTGAAAAATCAGGGGAACGCGTGAGTTGTCCCTCCCACCTCACCCAGTTTGCTACCATTAACGGCGAGGCGGTAGGTGCTATGCTGCGGGGGATTACGTCGGTGCGGAGAAATTTTATACTCAAGCGTGAGCTCTTCTTTCCCCTCCCATCCAAGGGAGGTAGGTTTTTTTTCTCTTTTGCTGGATGCCGGAAACGGATTTCACGAGCGGTGGATACTGAATCATTGTTCGGACCTTTCAGAATTATAAAAGACTCTACGAATGCCGCTTTCTTCACTAATCGTGCGCTAGTAAGGTTGCGCATGGATATGTACGAGCAGGTCATAGACGATTGCTTAAAAGCTATTGACCTCATCCCATCCTCACGTATGACCACCTTCCAACGGATTCTGTGTGTGGAAACCTCCCGTCTCACAAACAGGGACACCGGTAATATAGTGAAAGCATATTCGTACCTCGGACAGGCGCAGCTCAAACTCGGCTATCCGAACGAAGCTCTCTCGTCCACCCTCCGTGCGTACGAACTGGCTATTGCACAGCGCTCCCCTAGTGTTGGAACTATCGCAACGACATGTCTGGAAGTCAAGAAGAAGCGCTGGGAACTCTCGGAAGAGCGCCGTCGTGCTCGCGAATCCAATCTGTTGAAACAGGTGACGCAGATAATTGAGCGCGATGCGGAACGCGAGGTTGATCTTATCCTTCGCTCTCCTACCTGGGACCCTATTGAGAGTGGGAGGGATTACACCGGAAGTGAGGCCCAGGACAAGATTGACGATGTTAGGAGCGCTGCCAGGGAGAAGATTCAGACTCTCGAGGATGTGTTCGGAAAAGCCGAGGCGGAGAGATATAGAAAGAGAGAGGTTCCGGATTACCTGATTGATAACATTACCTTCAGTGTTATGCTGGACCCTGTCATTGTTCGTCCCAAACGCCCCCGTAACTTTTTTTTTCTCTTTCCTTTTTGAACCCGACGTGTTAACGTGGACGCAGACTAAGCATGGCCATTCTTATGACCGCGTGACATTGCTTGATCACCTTAAGCGTTCTTCGACCGACCCCCTCACAAGAGAACCGCTAACCGAAAAAGATTTGAGACCAAATCTGGCTCTTAAGGCCGCCTGCGAAACATTCCTAAAGGAGAATGGCTGGGCGGTCGACTGGTAAATTTGTGAAATATGATGCCAAAAAAAAGACAACCAATTCTAATCGGCTTAACAAATTTTGTTTTCTTAAATTCTGCTCTGTTTTTACTCATCCTCTATGGGAAAACGGGTTGCGCTATTAAATCGCTTTTAATATTTTTCCCCTTTCCCCTTTCCAATCAAATTTCGTGTTTCTTTGTGTATCGTTGGGCATTTCTGCGTTTGGTATATGGGGTTTCGAATGCCATTTTATACTATTTTTTTTTTTTTTTCCTATATGATAGCGCAATTGTTTTCTTTACCCCCCCCCTCCACCCGGGTGTTTGACATGGTGAGTGATGGGTGTGTTTGGTGGGAAATTTGGGGCTGAGAGACATCGTACGTGTTGGCGGCAGGCGGTGGAGTTAGGGATTTGATACAAGTAGCATTTAGATAGTGGCGGACATCAAGGACCGGGCCCTCTTGTCCACTTTTCTTTTATTCTTCTACTAGTAATACACACAGAAGAAAAGCTGTGCCTTGGTTTAAGTTTGCAGTACTTGTACCGGCAAAGTATGTGTGTTCACCCTTTCCGAAGTGCCCGTCTTACCATTCTCAACGAATACCGGCCCTCACCTTGCAGAGTTTTCCCCGGTGGCTTGATTGTTGTTGGGACTCGTTCATTGTTGGATGTGGTCAGGTGGGGGTCGATTTCAGACGCCCGACACGATATAATATCGTAGACTACCACTGGGGCGACGGGGCTCGTTTGTTTGGGAAGGGAGGAATTGCTTAGGGAACCGGCAGGTGCAGCAACTGTAGGGTACGAGGCTCGCATACCGGTACTGTATAGTGCTCTTACCGTGCTCGTACGAATCTTGGTGGACAAGGATCTTGAAGTGTTTTCCGATTTCTTTGTACTGATGGTACCCTGTACCAGCACTGTGCAAGTACCGGTACCGGTACCGCACTATACGGAACACAAGTACCGGTACTCGAGTACAAGGTAGACAAGCCTGTGTTGTGCTAGTATCTTATTAGCCAAGGGGGTGCGGTACGGCAGCCTAATCTTCCTAACGATAGCAGCGAAGCAAAAGCTGGTTCCACGCGCTGCCAAAGGATCTGCCGCGAGGTCTAGATCCTTGCACTGCTGTTTGCAAGTAGTTTAGTGGCTCGATCTCTCGAGTTGAGGTGCTACGATTGCTGTACCGTACGCTACCGTTGCTTGTGGATTTCCCAGCGATACGCTCTGAGGTGTGAAGTGGTGAGTTAAAGATAGATTTGGCCATCTATTTGTTTATTAGAGTTCACAGTAATAATAATAATAATAATCATGATTGGAGACTCTGCGAGGGGAACAGTGGATGTGGAGCGGGTGCGGCTCCGGACCAACCAGACTGCTAGGATTTGACTCTGAACGCGGAATGGCAAAAGTCCCTATTATTGCTCTGCGGGTTGAGGTGGAAGGGGCGGAGAAAGGAAGGGCGTCAGCTGTCAGCACGTGAAGTGCAAGATGTTGCAGGATCATGGGAAGGGGAGGGAATTTGGGTGATGGAGACGTGATCCTGTCGGTGTTTTTCGGGTCCGGGGATGGGACTGCTTGCGATCCTGAGACAGGTTTGGAGAGGGGGGAAGGAGAGAGAGCGGAGGGATACCGGCACTGTTCTTGCTGCCGGCATCATCGGTGAGGGGAGTAATGTAAGGAAGGGTACCGCACAGTGCGAGTAGGATACCGTGGAGTACGAGTAGAGTAGCGGTGCCGAGTTTTTGATGGACCACGGTAGCCTCCTGTGCTTGATTACTGGTAGACTACTGTTGGAGAGGCTCTGAGCGTTTGACTACTCCTTACCTGTATCATACTGTATGCATGCGATAATGGAATCCTCTCCAGAGAAAGCTAAATATACCCCCCAGCCAGCGTGGCCGAAAAAGATTCCCTCATCCGCGATGAGAATATCATTGACTCCTTCCTCCTCCCCATTCCCCTCCATCCCCTCCTTCCATCCTTCCGTCTCCGAATTCCTTCACTTAGCTCCCGTTTATATATATATATTTCTTTTTTTTCCCACCTATCACACCAAGCCACCATTGACGATCACTTCGATGTTAGGTTCCTCCTGCCTCCCAAACAGAATACCGGTCCACCAGATATAATGCTCTATTATCATGGCAACAGAAAAAACAAAAAAAAACGAGAGAATAAGCCCTCGTTTCCCTTTGCCCTTCCCCCTTTCCTCCCTTTCGCTCCTCTCCTCCTCACCTCCCCTCTCCTCTCGCTCGCTTCACTCGAGTCCAATCACGGTGATCGCCGTGATTGTCTTTGTACCCCGCAGTACGCATGCCAGACCTGCTTGTACCGTACCCGGTCCACCCACTAAGTCAATTGAGTTCGAGAACCCTGTTTCGCTTGCTACCGATAACGGTAGTGTCAGCCGCAGACCGCAACGGGGTACGGTGGGTAACAGTGGCAGAAGCGGCAGCAGCCTTGGGGAACCAAGCGGGAGGAAAGGGAGTTCACTCAGCATAAACCATCGGTACACTGGCATGCACCCGGTTTAACATCACCTCCCCCCCCCACGCACACTGATCGGTTTCACGATAATTTTTTGACTTTTTTCTTTCTTTTCGTTTCTTCTGGGGAGGCGATTTGGTGTTGCTTTGCTTCTCTGGTGCATTACTCTCTTTCTTTCCCCCTGCGGGATTGGGAAGGCTGTTCGGTGGAAGGTTTGGGGTTTGCTCGCAAAACTAGGCTGCAATCTCTCCAAAATGGATTTGCGGGCCCGGCCAAAGAGGAACGACATGCTGTTCGATATCATTGGGAATCTGCCAGAGGATCTTGTCGCTGAGGTTTTGTCATATCTTCCCGATATGTCGGATATGCGTCGACTGATTCATTGGCAAACGGTATGTCTTTTGCCTACGCATATTCATCGTCCTGTTTCTAGTTTACGCCCTTCTGGTTTTGCTCGTGAAGTGCAATATTGATGACAAACAAAGGTTTCCAAAACATGGAGGAGAATACTGCACTCCCCAATGACAAAAGTCTATCACCAACTCCTCCTTCACAACATCCACCTACGGGCACTCCTGCCGCCACCGCACTACTACGGGAGTGGTCATTCATTCTACTCCTATGCCGTCTTCCGCAGAGCCCTGCGGGCGGACCTGGCCATCCGTAAGGGCAATTTCCGCTCCGCAACGCCGCAGATGTATGACGCTTGCAGGGGTTACGTCAAGGAGGAGAGCTACGGAGCTGTAGACGGGGGCCCATTCTTCTCGGATGGGTTTCTGGTCTGGTTGGAGAGGAGCTCGAATCTCATGACGGGCGGGAAGACGATCCGCGTGCGGTATCTGGATTTTTCGAATGTCAATAAGACCTCGGCGAAGCAGCAGCCCGTTTCCAAGTCCATATTCGTCACGCAGTTCGAGAGGCCCGGCGAGTCGGAGACGCAGCTCGGAACTGTATTCAAGAATACTTCGAATCATTGGATTGCGATGGGATACGGGTCTGGGATTGTTGCCTTTTGGTCTTTCATGGAGTAAGTTCCCTCGGGGGGTTTCCCGCCCATTTGGATTTTGTGGGCGGTGGGTTGTTAACTTGGGGGGATAGCAAGTATATTACTGTGATGGGTCTACATGAGTCGAATAAAATCCTTTGGAAACTACCGCTATCAGCCCTTCTGCCTCCGCCGGATGGTGGGAATTTATACATCCGGGAGATTTTCTGTAGTAAGGACTACCTTATTATCAGTATCTCGCGATCGGCTACCCTGCAGGTGTTTTCCATGTCGAGCCGGAAACGAATTCACTTGATCAACCTTCGGGAAGGGTATCACAATAAGGAAACGACGGACTTCTACTATGATACCGTTGCTAGTGGGAATGCCGAATACGCTGCCGGGATTGGGGATAATAGGTACTTTATGTATGCTAACACCGGGCCGACCACCTTCTATCATAATATTATCCCAAGCTATCGCGAGACGCCTTCAGAGTTCTGCTTCTACTGCTGGGACTTAAAGCCGCAATCTCCTGATGCAGAAAGCCGCTATTCCTGGAACGACCAGCCAGAATCCCTTGAGGCGGAGGAACTTTTGTCGAATATCCCGGAGCCCCAATTCAACATTCCAATCGACCCATTGGCATCTAATCAAAGCATCTCATCCGCCGACGCTCCAAAACCGCCAAGATATAACCCACCACTAACCTTCCTTCGTCCAATGAGCCGGCGCTCCATCAATCTCTCCTGGCAGAACCCTATCCGTTTCACCTCCCCCAAGATAAAACTCAATACCTCGACCCGCGAGCTCCTCTTTTACTGTCCACAACGCTGTCATCCGCCACACATCTACTTCCGTTTCTCATACCCAGATCCCCCAAATCCAGACCCCCCAAAAGCCCTCCGCGCCGAAGAAGTGCCCTGGTGCGACTCCTGCATGCACGACCCATACCGTCATACCGCGCGGGGGTACACACCTGCCCTCCGCCAGGATGATAGTCGGTTCGCGCGTCTAGAACTCGAGTACAACACAGAACTAATCTTCAGTGACCAATCCCGATGGTACCGCTTCGCCCTCTCTCCCATTTCCGTTCTCCGGGGCGGAAAATCTCTTTGCGGAGCTATAACCGGAAGGAAAGAGCACCGCTGCAGATTACAAATGCTAAAACCGAACCCACCGCCCCACTCTTTGGATGATGGGAGGAAGACGAGCGTTGGTGGTGGGATACCAGGCGAGATGAAGGCGCACTGGGATGTGTCTATGGGAAAGAAAGCACCGCGGGGGAGTGCGCAAAGGTACGCGAATAGAGTTTGGGTGGGTGGTGGATGGGAGGGTGTGGCGGTGCTTTTCAACGGGAAGTTTGCCGTGTGGAGGTGGGGCGATTACGAAGCTGAGGAGGAGGATGTGTTTAAGGAGGTGGCAGGCACGAGGAGGGTGTTTAGGAGGCGGCCGAGGAGGCAGAGCTGGCTACCGTGGAAGGCGTAAATGTAGCTATTTATTTGCGCGGTGCCGAGCCCGGGGGAGCTTCGTCTTATCACGTCTTTTCTTTTTTTTGTTTCAGTCGTGGAGTTCAGTATGTTGTAGCATCCGCCCGGAGTTGCTCGTCACAAGATTTCACTGCCTGCCCCGTGTATGTCCGGACAGATCGATATTTAGTGCTGCAAACCCCCCCGTAGCCAATTTTTCAATGCTCTGAGTGCTTGGATATCTTCGTATCATATCTGGTGAGATCATGCTATGTCACTCGATCATGGAGACTCACTCGCCTGACAAGGAATTGGTGAAGCCGGGGCGAAATATGCCTCGAAATGCTAATCTCCCGTGATGCTGTTTTTGGGGCGCAAGTGTAGTAGCTCTCGGCGCAGAGAAGATAGTTGAGCATGTGGAGCACTGCATGATCCACCATAAACTTCCCTCTGTAGTTGCGGAGAGTGCCGACTCCATTTCTTGAACTTAAATTTTTTTTTTTTTTAGCAGTTCGACTCGGCAGTTATGGAGAGGTCTACCGTAAAAACTTGAATAATTGGGCGGTGTGCTATG